CGCAGTTATCTTCCGCAGTAAGTTTAAGAAAAATCATGTATATGTATATATGATTTAAAGGTTTCAAGCATGTATGTTTAAAAAGTATAGGTACATATGTATGTTAAGGAAACCGAGGTTGTAGCTAACAACCCTCGTTTTGAGTATTTGAGTTTTAGAACGTTGCAACAGAGCATGCAACAAATAAATAAATTTTAAACATGACGATTTAAATGATTGATTTTAAAAGGGCTTTAAGATGTACTTGAATTTAAGATTTCTCATGAAATCCGTTTTAAAGTCAAAATTAAATGGCCCGATTGAATTGACTAGTTTTAGAAATGCTTTTAAAGAGCATTTGAAATAAGAGTTCAAATGCTGCTCTGTTTGAAAGATATTTTTAGAACGTTTTATCTTAACTGAAATTAAGAAAAGCTTTAAGAAATTTAGTGATTCACTTATTTGAAATTATTGTTACAAATTATGAAAGTATTCTTTCTTATATTAAAAAAAAAAAAATGTTCCGCAAATTTTAAGAAACCCCAGTAAATACAAGTTAAAGTTTAAGTTACAGTGGCGGCCTCATAGGAGGGTCGTCACATCATACACCCATTATCTCGCTACAAACGCTACAAATTCATATTTGTAACATTTGAAAATTGCAATCGTGTTGATGCTACTGTCCAAAAAAAAAAAAAAAAATGATGAAACGTAAGGTAGTGGCCTGCTGCCAGAAATTGACACACAAGATAGCGGGTGGCAATCTTTCACCAAAAGGAAACAAATTGAGGAAAAGTGAGTTATACATTTGGACCACTATATATATGCTAATAATTGTTGATCTTGATCTTTTAACACTATTCTGCAGAAACTCTCATTGAATTTCTGAGAGGAAAAGAAAAATGGAAGGAGAGAAAGGTACGGTTTGTGTAACAGGTGGAACGGGATACATAGGATCATGGCTGATATTGAGACTTCTAGATCATGGTTACTCCGTCACAACAACTGTTAGATCAAACCCAGGTGAGCAATCTTGAAAAATATACCATGAAAAGAAAAAAAAAAACTTATATTTGGTTGTTGAAAGGATTAACCACATTCTGGATGTGGGTTTATAATATTTTTACGATTTCTTTCAAGTGTTTAAGTATACAGAAATGATCTCTACCTACTTTAAAGAAACCGTCAAGGATCAAGGATAAGGCTTTTAAGTACTCATTATGGATTTATATGTATATAAGAAAATTCAAGGAATTTCTTTTAAGTACTAATACTACTTCTAAACGTTGCATTTCTTCCTCTTTTTTCATTTGGTTATTTTCCACTCCCTCGATTTAGTGATGCGGTGCAGATGGATCTAGTCTTTATGGCGCGTTTAGGACATCTTAAAGTTAAATAAAGCAAATTTTTCAATTTTCAAGAGGTCTTTTGGTGAAGTCAGATTTTGACGAAAAATATGTATTTTCTGAGTGGAAATGGCCTTACGGGCAAGATTCGTCGCTTTACCATGACGTATGACCTTTTTTTTGGCAAATTCTATCGTTTAGGCCTCCAAAAGGGTGTTTTTTTTTTTTTTTTTCATTTTTAGTAATTTTTGTTTTTGTAATAAGTTGACATAGAAAATTCGGATTCTAGTTCCAATTACGTTTCTTTTTCCTTTCTTATGGTAGTTTCAATCTTAGTTTCCAGTTCAAAATTTTCCTTTTTTTTGAAAAATTTTGGATTTTTATTATTTTTAATTATTGAATAGGCTAGTTTATTGTTTGTGTTTTGCCTAGACGTCTTGTAATGAAAATCAGTTTAGTTAAATAAAAATTCAAAGCTTTCTCTAAAATTTCTCTTTTCTTAATTCCGGTATTATGTGTGAATTAACGGTTTTTGAAGCTGTTCTCTATTCTGTGTGAATCAACGAGTTAACTGATCTATCACTTATATGTTTTAGTTTCCAATTTTAAAAATTATTACTGCCATATCAATACAATCAAATACATACAATTATGTTTGTATGTATACATGTATCAATGCCTTTGTTCAGAAATTATAAATATTGACATTGAGAATGTGACTGCAGAGCATAAGAAAGACCTTAGCTTCCTCACAAGTCTACCAGGAGCATCAGAAAGGCTCAAGATCTTTGACGCAGATCTCAACAATCCAGAAAGTTTCCGAGCAGCCATCGAAGGTTGCATTGGAGTCTTCCATGTTGCCACTCCGATTGATTTCGAGAACGAAGAAGCAGAGGAAATAGTGACCAAAAGGTCAATATATGGAGCAACGGGGATCTTACAGGCATGCCTAGACTCCAAAACAGTGAAAAAAGTTGTCTATACTTCCAGTGCCGCTGCTGTTGTGTTCAATGGGAAGGATTTTGATCAAATGGATGAGAGTTTTTGGAGTGACATTGACTACGTTAAATCTCTCGAGTCAAATTCAGGTTCATACGCGATTTCCAAGACCTTAACTGAAAGAGCGGTCCTTGAATTTTCAGAAAAACATGGTTTGGAAGTTGTCACATTGATTCCTACTTTTGTTGTTGGCCCTTTCATTTGTCCTAAGCTTCCTAGCTCTGTTCGCTCCGTATTTAATCTGATCTTAGGTATGTATTCCTTTTGGACACACCTTTTGTTGTATCTCTTATTGTTAGAATACATTAAATATTCAAACCAACAAATAATTAATAATCTCTCCTCATTAGGATTTACTCTTCTGACATGAAATTAGAGCTTCATAAATATACGATGAACAAGATCACCTCTTAGGAAGCTTGTTTCGAATTCATATTTATGCAGGGGAAAATGGAACTTGTCGTGAAAATCTTTTTTATGACACATCATGAAACTAAAACCAAACATGTAAAGGGTAACTAATTTAGGATAAAACAATAGTTCTACTTTCATGCACAAAATATTGATATCTTTGCATCTATGGTGTTTGTGATGTGTATCGTATGAGCAGGCGAAAAGAGCGCATCTAGTTCTCTTACCCGTATCGACACGGTGCATGTGGACGATGTCGCTAGTGCTCACATTTTCCTATTTGAAAATCGCGAAACAAAAGGGCGATATAATTGCTCAGCAAATACTATAGAAGTTGAAAGCATATCCAAGTTGCTTTCTACCAAATACTCAGTACTTGAGATACCTAGTAAAGGGTTAGTTTATTTATCCTCTCCAGTTGTACTCTTGAAATCTTCCATCTTTTGGTTGGTTATTATCTCAAATTTCGAACATTTCTCCGTGCAGTTCTCAAGTGAAAATGGAAGCCAATTCTCCATCTTTATCATCAAAGAAGCTACTAGATTCAGGTTTCCAATTCAAGCATGGAGTTGAAGAAATGTTTGATGATGCAATCAAATGCTGTAAAGAAAAGGCGTACCTCTAGTGTGTGTGTGTGTGTTTTTTTTTTTTTAAGCCTCATGGTTTATCTGGACTCATTACCATCAATTAATGCATCTTCTGTTGATCAAATTAAAGCTCTAAAAACACATGGAGTTTTCTGCATTATTTTTTAACACATTTATTGAAAATCAAGCTTTTGAATTTTCGGGCAAGAAAGAGTTAAAATCCCACATTTTCCTTCTTGATCATCCAGAGGTAAAGGGCAATACATAATTTGGGGTAATTAATTACATAAGTATACCTCTTAGTTTCAGTATTTGTTTCAATTTATCTCTTCGTTTTTTAAAATTATGAAATATCCTTACATTTGATATATATACTTCAATTTCATCCCCCACTCATTATTTTTTACACGATAACTAATAGAAAGACAAAAATACCCTTGCATAGTATTTGAAAATTATTTTGATCATTTCAAAAAACATCAAAAAAATAAAACAAAACATGATTTTTAAGTAAAGGAGAAACGTTGCCCATAATACTTTTGAAGGAAAATATACAAACTTTCTTAAAATGTTTTTTTACAAACTTTGACTGTTATATTTATCTACTTTGTTTCTTAGTCTGAAAAGTGCGGAATGGATGAAAACGAAACATGATTCTTAGATAAAGGATCCTTTCGTAGTTTCAAAAAAAAAAAAATAAATAAATAAATTGAGAAAAAGTTAGAAACTAGAAAGTACGTGTATTCATGTAATCAATCCTCTACCTATCTTTTTGCTGACGATGTTAGGCGGGTTTATAACTCATTTCAAAATAATTTTATTTTTTGTATGAAAATGAAAATAAAAACGTTTTCAATCTCAGATAGAAATTATTTTTGAAAATGCATTTGGTAATTTTATCAAGAGATTATTTTCAATGTAAAAAAACTCATTAATGTCTCTCTTTCTCTCTCTTTGCTCGAGAGAGGAGAAAACGAAAACAAAAAATAAAAAACAACTAAAAGTCATTTTTCATTTCTCTCTCATGTTACATTAAACTAAAAAATTATTTTTATTTTTATTTTTTATCTTTATTGTGCCAAACACTATTTTAGAAACGTTTTTATTTTTTTTTCTACAAAAAACGTGAAAAATAAAAATGAGATCAATTCCAAACACGGCCGTTGAGTTTCTCTCTCTATCTAAATTCAACGAGCTAGTAAGATGCTTGAGACTTTATTTATTTATGGGAAATAGTAAAAAATAGGCCAATATGAAAAGCTTAAGAAAGTATATAGGCTAATTTTTAGTTATAGAAATTAATAGGCCATAACTTGTTAAGTTATTGTTCATAACCAGATAAGTTATGGACAAACTTGTCAAGTTATGGTTTATAGTCAGACAAATTATGGACAATAACTTGTCAAGTTATGGTTCATAACCAAACAAGTTATGGACGAAAACAGTAATTTAGCCTATTTATTAACTTATGTAAACTATTGGCCTATTAATTTTAATTCATCTCAAGTCTTGGCCTATTTTCCTCTTTCTCCCTTTATTTATTTATCCGTGAAGAGGCTTGAGACCTATTCGAAAAGGCAAAAAAAAAAAAAAAAAAGAAAAATGAGAGAAAATTTTTAAAATTTCCCTTACCCTGTTCAATTTAAAAACACACAGCATGTTTGGTTTATGGATTAGAACCATAAGATTAGAACTATTTTCGATTTATGTGTGTTTTTTGTGAGAGAAAATACTGTAGCGAACCACGAACTATGATTCGAATCAGGATAGGAATCCCCCAACTAAAACGTTTTCCATTTTTTAATGAAATAAATGTTATCCTATCCTGTGTATATGAACAAACTACAATCACTCCCTCATCAAACTTATCTCTTCCACTCTTGTCTTCTACCTTTTCTTGTTCGTTTCTCTCAGCAGCAAAAGAAAAATCAGTGTTAAACCTCTAGAATTGAGAACTCATCCATGATTTACATCTTCCACTAGAACCCGTAAAGCTTATGGGAGCTTGAAGAAATTGGAAAACACATTGTTCAAATTCAACCAAAAAAATCTGATTTGAGGTACAAATCTTGATCTGCAGCTTAAGATTTTCACTTATTTGCTGACAGTTTGAGACTATCCCTCTTTATTTGTTTCTGTCATTTTCGGATTGTTTAAGGCAATAAGTTTGTAGTGGTTGGCCATGGAACAGTGCTAAAAGTGTAATATGATATATCGATAAAAATTTTGGTGTCATTGTTTATTTGAAAATGAGTTATGTAACGACACTAGGCAAGTGATTTTATTAAGTAAAATAAGTAGACTTAGCGCCTCGCTAACCATATATTAACCTCCATGTCACCACTTGCTTTTTTTTTATTTTTAATTTAGGTTGGGGGATTTGAACTTTTTACTGATACAGTTAAGTGTGAAATTACTGTTAGACTATGCCTATAATTATATCCCTTTTTGGGGCATGACAGCCAAACAAAAGAAAACCATTAATTGAGAGGTTTGAACTGTTATATCTTGAAAAAGTAACTAAAAAGGCAAAAAAAAAAAAAAAAAAGAAAAAGAAAAAGAAAAATCATCCTTCAAGGATGTTATTCACTTCTGAAAGTATTTCCTGTGAACCATTTTTGGATCAGAAAGATGGAAGCAGAGAAAGGTACAGTATGTGTGACAGGCGGTACGGGCTATATAGGATCCTGGCTGATAATGAGACTTCTTGAACAAGGTTACTCGGTCACAACTACAGTCAGATATAACCCAGGTGAGCCATTTTTGTATGGAAAAAAAAAAATTTTTTTTGGTTGGTGATGACCTTATATATATATTTTGTTAGCAGATAAGATTTTTAGAGATAGTTTGAATATGTCAACTAGTTATTTTATTATTTAGTTTATTATTTTCGGTTATTTAGATTATGAGTTATCAGTTAGTATTTAAAATTCAAATAGAATAGATTAAGCTAGGAGAAATCCTTCTGCCGTAAATCTAGGAGAAGATAATAGACTCAGGTATTCAAGCCCTAGTCTATTTAAGTGTTCTTTCATTCGATTAATAAAAACAAGGCAGTTTTAATTAACCTGCGTTCATGGTATCAGAGCCTTGAATTCTAAATATTTCAATGGCAAAAACAGCCATGATGGGGTCCTCATGTGGAGATAATTCCAAATTAGAAAACTTTGATAAAAATCAAGCCGATCAATTCATCACGGCGTTTCAAGGTGGAGACAATAACTCGCTCCAGATTACGGCTCACAAACTCAATGGAAAAAATTATCTTCAATGGTCTCAGTCAGTAAAGATTGTGATCTGTGACAGGGGAAAATTCGAATACATCACTGGTGAAGCTAAAGCTCTAGCACCGACCGACTCTACATACAAAAAGTGGTTTGCCGAAAACTCGATTGTACACGCATGGCTTATCAACTCCATGGAGCCCATGATCAGCCGTTGATATCTCTTTCTTCCCACTGCTAAAGACGAATGGGATACTGTAAAAAGAATTTATTCCGATCTCAGCAATGCCTCACAAGTTTTTGAAATTCGTACAAAACTGAAGGAGATGAAGCAAGGAACCAAATCAGTTACCCAGTATTGCACCGATCTGCAAGACAATTGGCAGGAACTGGATCTTTTCCTGGAAGAAGATTCGGTTTGTCCAACGTACAATGTGAAGCAGAGATAGACCCTTGAAAAAGAACGGGTATTTGATTTTCTTGCTGGATTGAATTGGGATCTTGATGAAGTCAGGGGCCGTGTTTTAAGCAGAATGCCATTCCCAACAACCGAAGAAGCTTTCGCCGAGGTTCGTAGAGAAGAGAATCGCCGGAAAGTCATGTTGTCAGAGGGAGAAACATCTGGTGTAGCATCAACAGAAGGCTCGGCTCTGGCAATCAGAAACACTGCACAACCAGTAAGGAACAATAGTGAGTCTAGAACCCCGCGGCGAGGAGAGCGAATGTGGTGTGACCCTTGTAATCGAGAAGGACATACACGTGACACATGCTGGAAAATTCATGGTAAACCCGCAAATTGGGTTCCCCGAAGATAGAATGAGGGACTAGCGCTTCAAACTCAATCAAACCAAGACAAAGGAGCATCAACAGAAAACTAGAAATCCCTCTGTTTAGCAAAGAACAGATTGAGCAACTCTATCGCCTCCTCAACCAGTCACCTGCCTCATCCTCGTCAACTCCAAATCCCAGAACCTGTTCTGTAGCCCAGATTGGTAACTTTCACTCATCCTTAAATTCTACTCTTCACTCTAAGGAACCATGGATCATTGATTCTAGTGCCTCCGACCACATGACAGGTGTCTCTGATTTTTTTTTTCTCTCTTATACCCCTAGTCATAGTCCTGTTAAAGTGAAAATTGCAGATGAATCCTTATCTTCAGTTGTTGGAATAGGTTCAATTCAATTATCCAAAGATTTAACACTTGAGTCGGTTCTTCATGTTCCTACCTTAAGATGCAATTTGTTATCCATAAGTAAACTCACTCAAGATAAAAGCTGTGTTGCCATTTTTCACCCTTCTACATGTTATTTTCAGGACCTATCATCGGGGAGGATGATTGGCAGTGCTAGAGTTCATAAGGGGCTTTATTACCTCGAGGACATAGAGAATGAGAGTCAACAAGCATTTGCATATGGAGTTTCATCAGTTTATGTTTCTAGTAATAGGGAAATAATGTTGTGGCATCATAGACTTGGCCACCCTAATTTTTTATATTTAAAACATTTGTTACCGCCCTTATTTAAGAATAAAAGTACTATTTCTTTTCATTGTGACATTTACCAATATGCAAAACACACTCGGGTACCATTTTCTCCCAAACCTTATATGCCCTCTAGCCCATTTGCTTTAATTCATAGTGATATCTGGGGACCATCATGAATTACCACAACAAATAGAAAAAGATGGTTTGTAACATTTATTGATGATCACACATGAATAACTTGGGTATACCTCATTCGAGAAAAATAAAAAACCTACCAAGTATTCTAAAATTTCAATAACATGATCCAAACCCAGTTTCAAAAAAAGGTGTGTGTCTTGAGAACATACAACGGGAGAGAATACTTTCAGTCTATCTTGGGGGAGTACTTGCTACAACAAAGAATCATTCATCAAAGTTCATGTGTTGATACCCCGCAGCAAAACGGAGTCTCGGAAAGGAAAAATAGGCACTTATTGGAAGTAGCTCGCGCACTCATGTTACAATGAATGTTCCCAAGTACCTATGGGGAGATGTTGTCTTAACTGTTGTGTTTCTCATAAACCACCTACCTAGACACACCTTAAAATTCCATTCCCCATTATCCCAGCTCACAAAGACCTATCCACATCTTAAAAGCATAAATAACCTTTCGCTCAAGACGTTTGGCTGCACTACTTTTGTCCATATTCATCCCTACCACTGAACCAAACTTGACCTTCGAGCAATAAAGACTATCTTTCTTGGCTATTCTCCTACCCAAAAAGGATACCGGTGTTAATGCCCTAAGCAAAAGAAAATGGTTATCTCTCGTGATGTCACATTCTTTGAAGACATGCCATATTATTCCCCCACTTTGCTTCAGGGGGAGAATCATGATCAAGAAGCTCATATGTGGAATTGGGACACCATTGCCTTGCCTATATCCGAAACTCCACCTATGACTACAACCTCACTGCCAGAGACTGAAACTGAAACAGTTGCAACTACACTTACCACATCCGACCTTACCACTTCCAACATCATACCACCCGACCTTACCACTTCCAAAATCATACCACCCTCTGAAAACATGCCACAGCAAATACAAGGACCGGTTCATGAAACAGAAATAGGAAGAGACCTCAGTGTACCAAATCAACAAGTGCTACGTGTTTACTCTCGAAAAAAACATTCTCAAGGAAACATGCCTCTCATGAACACCATGCACTGTCCAGAATCTGAACCAATGCTAGGAACCACTTCCTCAGCTCCAGGTAATTCCGAAGGCACTTGTGAAATGCTAGATATACCAATTGTCCATAGGAAAGGTGTTAGAACATGTACACAACATCCCATATCCAAATATGTGTCGTATGATAATTTGTCTCCATTTTTCTGAGCCTTCACCACAAAGTTGTCTAGTGTCAATATTCCCAGGTTAATAGAAGAAGCTCTAGCTGTTCCTGAATGGAAAAACACAGTACTTAAAGAAATACAAGTGCTCGAGAAAACTAACACATGGAGTATGGTTGAACTACCACAAGGCAAGAGTGTGGTCGGATGCAAATGGGTATTCACTGTCAAATTTAAGCCGGATAGATCAATTGAAAGGTACAAAGCACGGCTCATTGCGAAATGTTTCACACAAACCTATGGAATCGATTACACTTAGACAGTTGCTCCAGTTGCAAAGTTCAACACAACAAGAGTCCTACTATCATTAGCGGCAAATCTGGATTGGCCTATGTTTCAACTCGACGTGAAGAATGCTTTTTTAAATGGTGAATTGGAGGAAGAAGTGTATATGAGCCTACCACCCGGGTTTGAAGAGAGTAAGAGAAACAAGATGGTGTGCAAGCTGAAGAAATAGCTATATGGACTAAAACAGTCTCCGCGCGCATGGTTTGATAGATTTTCAAAGGTGATTAAAAGCCACAGATACACACAAGGACAATCTGATGACACGTTATATGTTAAGCACTCATGAGATGGAAAAATCACAGTCCTATAGTATACGTAGATGATATAATACTTACTGGGGACAACTTTGAAGAAATGGAGAGAATTAAAAGGTTGATGGCTGTGGAGTTTGAAGTTAAACATCTCGGTACATTGAGATATTTCTTAGGAATGGAAGTTGTAAGAAGCAAAAGTGGGATCTCCATATCACAAAGGAAGTATACACTAGACCTATTACAAGAAACGGGTATGTTGGGGTGCAAACCAATAGAGACTCCAATTGAACAAGGAGGCAAGGCGAAAGCAATTGATGGAGAGATGGCTGAAAAAGAAAGATATCAACGGCTAGTGGGAAAACTGATATACCTCTCACATACACGACCGGACATCGCCTTTGCAGTTAGTGTGGTAAGCCAACAAATGCATTCACCGCGTCAAGGACACTTCAAAGCTATTTATTGGATATTGAGATACCTCAAAAAGACTCGAGGATTATTTTTTGGAAAAGAAGAAAACAGAAAAGTGGAAATATTCACTGATGCTGATTGGGCCGGATCTATCGAAGATAGGAAATCAACATCTGGATATTGCACACGCCTCTGGGGGAACTTGGTGACTTGGCACAGTAAAAAACAGTCCGTAGTAGCAAGAAGCAGTGCTGAAGCTGCATACAGAGCCATGGCTCATGGCATCTGCGAAGCAATTTGGTTGAAATGGTTGCTAGAAGAGTTGAAGATTAGTTGTGAGTTCCCTATGCAACTCTACTGTGATTAGAAGGCTACTATCAGCATAGCACACAACCCAGTCCATCATGATAGAACCAAACATGTGGAGGTGGATTGACACTTTATTACTGAAAAGCTAGAGAAGGGAATTATCAGCATTGAGTACATTCCTACAGGACAACAAGTTGCAGATATACTAACCAAAGGACTTTCTGGACTAACGTTCGAGTACTTTGTAGGCAAACTTAGGCTTATTAATATCTACAGTCAAGCTTAAGGGGGAGTGTTAGCAAATAAGATCTTTTAGAGATAGTTTGAATAAGTCAACTAGTTATTTTATTATTTAGTTTATTATTTCCAGTTATTTAGATTAGGAGTTATCAGTTAGTATTTAAAATTCAAATAGAATAGATTAAGCTAGGAGAAATCCTTCTGCCGTAAATCTAGGAGAAGATAATAGACTCAGGTATTCAAGCCCTAGTCTATTTAAGTGTTCTTTCATTCGATTGATAAGAACAAGGCAGTTTAATTTAACCTGCGTTCATATATATATATTTAGCATTCTAGATCAGGTTAATTTGTAGTAATTGTAGGATCTATATTTTAAGTGTTAACCATGTGGTTAAAGAATCTCTAGTCCCCTTGATTATTTGTTCATAACACACACACACACACACACACAAAAAGAAAAAGAGTTGTTTACTGGAATTATAGCCCATTCCTAGATTAGGAATTATTATATTGTGGACTAGTTATATTGGTATAGTTTATCTATACTATCTCTAATTCCGAAAGTTATGAATATTGATGTTGAGAATGTGGTGGCAGAGCCTAAGAAAGACCTTAGCTTCCTCACAAGTCTTCCCGGAGCATTAGAAAGACTCAAAATCTTCAATGCTGATCTAAGCGATCCAGAAAGTTTTAGACCAGCCATTGAAGGGTGCACCGGAGTCTTCCACGTTGCCACTCCGATTGATTTCGGGAATCAAGAATCAGAGGAAATAGTGACCAAAAGGTCAGTACATGGGGCAATGGGGATCTTACAAGCATGCCTAGATTCCAAAACGGTGAAGAAAGTTGTGTACACTTCTAGTGCCGCTACTGTGATAGTCAATGGCAAGCACTTGGATGAAATGGATGAGAGTTTTTGGAGTGACATTGACTATGTTAAATCTCTCAACTCAGATGCAGCTTCCCACATCATCTCTAAGACCTTAACGGAAAAGGCAGTCCTTGGCTTTTCCGAAAAACATGGTCTGGAAGTAGTCACATTGATTCTTTCTTTTGTCATTGGCCCTTTCATTTGTCCTAAGATCCCCGCCTCTGTTCTATCCGTATTTGAAATGGTCTTTGGTAAGTGACATTGCTCTAATCAGGACAAAATTCTTAGGCTTAGCTATCTAAATAGTTAGAAATATTGAAAATCTCCTCATAAGTTAAGAGGATCAATCTCATAGGTGGTTACTGAACTTTAATCTGAACTTAAGTATTGATTTTGGACATTACTTTTTGTTATAGATCTATTATTATCCTAACATGAAATTAGAATAAATATGTTATGAGCTAGGTGTCACCTCTATGAAAGCCAATAATTCTACTTTAGGATTGAACAATAATTCTAGTAATTTCATGAAATTCATGATGTCGATACCTCTATGTTTATGATGTTCGTGATGTGTATCATTGCTCTTATGCAGCGGACCCCAGTGAATCTAGTTCTCTTATCCGTTTAGATTTGGTGCATGTGGATGATGTTGCTAGAGCAAACATTTTCCTCTTCGAAAATCCCGAGGCAAAAGGGCGGTATAATTGCTCAGCAAAAGCTACACCAGTTGAAAGTACATCCAAGTTGTTTTCTACCAAATACTCAGAACTTCGAATGCCTAGTAAAGGGTTAGTCTAATTACACTCTTTAATCGTATTTTAGAATCCTCCATCTTCTGGTTGGTTATAATCTCAAATTTGAGAATATTTCTGTCCAGTTCGGAAGTGAAGCAGAGAATCAATTACCCGTCTCTCTCGATGAAGAAGCTACTCGATTTAGGTTTCCAATTCAAGTATGGAGCTGAAGAAATGTTTGATGATACAATCAAATGCTGTAAAGAAAAGGCCCGCCTACAGTGAGTTTTTATTTCTTTTAAGCCTCATGGTTTATCTGGACTTGTTACCATCACAAATACCTCTACTGTTGATCAAATTAAAGCTCTAAAGCCATATATGGAGTTTTCAGCATGATTTTTATGGCATTTTCTTTCTTGGGCATCTTGAGGCAAAGGGCAATACATAATTATCAATAATTAGTTGTGTAAGAAAACTTCAAAAATGTGTCCAATTACTTTTCCATGTTGTTTAAATTCTGCCAATACTATATCTTTGTTTTTTCCAAATTATGACTCTTCTTAGCACATTCCAGTGCTTTAAAGAAAACTGTTACATGTTTTAATTAGTTTCTCCTATTTGAATCTTGAGTACCTTTAAAATTTCCCTTACCTAGGCAGCCATTATATTCAAAGGATACTTTATGGGAAAAACTACCATGAGGTATAAGTTTTTTTCCCCCATCCATGAAGAACCATCTAAGTGGCAATTTTGTATCTCAGTCAAGATTGAAAGAACTTACTATGGTCAAGATTTCAAGAACTTACCATGCTCTTTATCATACTTGATTATAACTTGAGAAAATGTTTTTCTTTATTATAAATGAATAATTTCAAAGCTTTCCCCCAAAAAATCCCCATGGCGGTGATGGCGAATTTCAATCTCTTGCTTTCTAAAAAAAAAAAAAAAAAAAAAAAAAAAAAAAAAAAAAAAAAAAAATTCAGATTAAAGGATCAATACTTTACTTCTCCTTCCAATAATTCAAACTTTTTTGCAGCTTGAACAAAAACACACTTTTTTTTTCCAAGAACATGAACTCAAGAGCACATAGGTCTCACCCACATGAACCCCTCGTTCGTTTGCACTTTGAACAAAAGAATATCGTTTCGAAAAATGAAACAATGTCAGAGCATGAACCAAAGAAAAAGAATTCTCCATTGAAGTGAAATCAACTTGATCAAGATAAAGGAAAACTCTAAACAAAATAATAAAATACGTTACATGAATTTCAACCTCCGAGCTTTTTCTTTTTTGATGGAGATCCACGTGGGCCACAACAGAGGTTAGTGCTGGGCAGCTGGATTAGACCCATGGTGGGGGCATTCTGTTTCATCGGCAAACATCTTCGTGTTGTAATTAAGAATTACACTCTAATTCTATATTATAGAAAATAAATTAAACAAAAAAAGAAGATGCAAAATTTAAAGGTTTACTTTAACGTAAGACTATGTGTTCTTTAAGTTGCTACAATAATTCACTATAATAAAGAAGTTTATAAGAGAGAAATCGCACATCTCAAAACTTTCTATGTTTTCTCTAGCCTCTCTAGTAAACCAAAAGCGGTGCCACATTCTATGTGGTAATTAAGGTATAAAAGTGATTTAAGATCCATGCGATTTGACCCGCTGGATGTAATCCCCTGGTCTATAATACGTGTGCATCGATGACGAGAAAAAAAGCGTTCATTAACCAATAAAGATGTGACAGACATTAGTTGGATTTTTTGACAATAGATTGTATCTATAATGATACACATCTTCACTTAGTATGTTATTATCCACTTTGGATCCGAGTTCGTATAGATTTATTTTCAAAAACCCTCATATCAATAGAGGTGGTGTTCTTTATAAATTATCACCTATAACATTTCTTGTAAAACTGCACAACTTAACCTTTATTGACATTTTTGTTTCAAGGGATTGATAGCCATCATAATATCTGTTATAATAATAGATTCTGTCTGCAAAAAATCTTGTAAAAACAAAACGTGTTGCTATGGCTGCCAAAAAACGAACATGAATTAGACACAATTACCAACGATATAGATATTGCTAGAAAGTGAGAGGGAATCTTTTTTGTGATCTGAAACAGACAAACGAAAACCATTAACTAAGCTGTTTGGACCTTTATCTTGAAAAAGACATACATACACACACTCACATATAATCCTTCAAGTACATTCACTGCTGAAATTACTCCTACTGAACCATTTTTGGATCATTATGATGGGAGGAGAGAAGGAACATTATGTGTGACAGGTGGTACGGGGTATATAAGATCTTTGCTAATATATGTATATCTATGTGTGTAATTTATATAGGCTAAAATAATCTTGGTTGATAATGAGACTTGTTGATTGTGGACATTACTGATCAGTCAAAACTACAATTAGAACTAAACCAGGCAAGCCATTTTTTATTAGGAAAAAAAAGTATATTTCGGCCAAGAAAGTTCATTTCGTGTACTTGTTATTAGTTGTTGATTGTCATAGTGACAGCACTCATATAATCTTCACGAGGCCACGGAAATCTCGAAGCGGAGGAGAAGAACAACAATGCTCCAGCAAGAGGAAACCACAGTTCTCGACGGCGGTTTGCGAAAGAGAAGAGCAAGACGGGATCATCAATCTCCAGGTTTTCTTCGTGCCGTGAAGTTCGGCCATTCTTACATGGCGACGAGGACCCGCAACCGCGTTGTTGGCTGTAGGAGACGTATGCTTTCCTAGGGTTTCAGAGATTTTTGGAATTTGTGGTTATTTACTAATTTTAGAAAAATAAATTATTTATTTATTAAGTAAAACATAATAATTTTATATTTATGCAGTAAAATACTAGATTTATAATGTAAACTAACAATCTAAAAATAGACGTGAATAGAGGTTTTGCATTACGATTTAAATCCTCTATTTACGTACATAACCTTTTATTTGCACAATATATTTATCAACATAACATAATCCGTAAGGTTAACTATCTGGTAAATTTTGGAGTAATTTACAGTGTAAATCCTTTATTTACCTATAATCCATGCTATCTGGTAAATATGAATTTTACGGCGAGTACAACACCATTCGTATTTTTTCGGTAAGGGATCAATTTGCAATTGCTAAAAACCAATATGATAAACTGGTGTATTTGCTATTCACAATAGGTTGATGAAATACATAGTATAAATAGGGTTAGAATCCCCAATTAGTTCCCTAGAAATCTGTGTTAGCGTTTATGCCCTTAGAAATAAATGTAACAATATTATTTGAGACATTTTGACTATTAATAAAGATTTATTTATTTCATATATCTATGTATTGTCCTCTTTATGTTCATAATAGTTGAATGTATGATAAGCAAACAGAAAGTCTGAGACTGTCATTCTAAATCTTTAGGTCATGCATATAATGTGAAGAACATGCGAAAGACAAGAATCTAAAGATGATAGTCTAAATCTAATGATCCACAATCGAGGGAATAAAGTTGGGCGCTTTATTCATGTTAAGATTGTTATGTTGTCTACTTCCTAACGGAGACGGCTTGTCTTGCTCGTCGAAGGTGGGACTCCATGGGTGGAGACATTGATATAGTTTCTAACGGTGAAATCTATATTGGATCGGACCAAAGTTGAATTGTTTTAATTAATAATTCTGTTTGAATAAAACAATTCACTTTTGACGAATTATATGTTGTCAGCTTAATCCTGAGATGGATGATGAACCCGTATGCTTGACTTGTATCCTTTGATATACTAAAGGGAGACATCCTGACATTATGTAAAGGTACGCTTGCCGGTACATTGGGGGTATGACTCGCGGATGCGTAGATTCCTTATTCATAGATAGTGGAATCTATAGCTCCTATAAAGAGTCAATGATATCCTCTTAGGCATTATCAGTAGATTGGAGAATACGAGCGCTCGGCCATTAGACTACTCTGTGTTATCTAATGGTTTACTGTTTGTAATGGTACGAATAGTATTTTTCTGATGGTATGATAATAGAACATAAGATAAATGTAATCAGGAAGGTAAAACGGAACTTGACCTCAAGTCGATTATGGATATCCTATGGGGATAATACACTAATATATTAAGTCATGGACTAGAGCTAATCAGAGCTTTGTAAATACGCTATATAAATTGAGAGTGCAGCTCTAGGCTTTTAGTGGAATAGCGCTAGATTTTTATAATCATGAGACGGACTTGTTGGTTTATAAGTAGTGTTGTGATTATAGGAGCTTGATTTATATATGTTCATCGAGTCCCTTTGCTAGCTCACATAATTTCCTGTAATGATACGGCGTATTTCCTACACATTGGTAACTTGTGTTATTTCCGTAAAATAGGTTCAAAGTTAATTCATGGGTGATTTATCGGGTGAATTAATTGATAAATTAATTCTAGATTAATTGGTTGAATTATTGTTTTAAGAGTTATTTAATATGGGAAGACTATTATATGACTATTTTGATTAGGCAATTTCTCTATTGGGTTGCTTGAATCAAAACTGAGGCTCTATGCAAGTTTCCCGTGTTGAAAAACTAAGAAAACAACTTTCGTCAGTGCAGACAAGTCGACCGGTTAGTGAAGACAGGTCGATCGGTGAGTTATAACGTCTTTGTCACCGGTCGACCGGTTGTAACGTAAAATGCATGCTGACGTGTCAAAATCGACTCTGAATGCGATTAAGACTTTGGGAAACCTAATTATTACGGAAGTATGACTTCCTAAACACTATAAATA